ATCCATCAAGCAGTGCGGCTTACCAAAGTTGTACTAAAACATTTTTAACAGATTTCTGCCAAAATCGGTTCAAGGTCAGTAAGCACAACCAGAATTCATACATAAGGCACTCTCTCGATTTTTGAGGAAATGAAAGGATTTTAAGTCCTTATAGTGTGGAAAATACGCTATACAGAAGAAAATAATATATCGTGATATATATCGTTACCACACATGCTTAAAATTATATCGCGATATGAATTTTAGGCCATATCGCCCAGCCCTATGTACTCGTATTAGCTTAAATATTTAAAGTAAATGGATCTTTGTATAAAAACAGACTGCGTTAGGTTCAGATCTACCTATAAACACACGTCTTTAGTGCTGTGCTCATTTCCTCACCGTGTCTCTGTCCTCCATGGTCCTCTGTGGCCGTCCCGGTGTGCCAGCTGGCGCCCCCTTCAGGCGTTTGTACTGTGTGTAGAGGATGTTCATGGTGGCCAACAGCACCTCAGACAGGTTGTGACGCACCTGCAGGAACAAAACGACATTTAAATAAAGAGAAAGCAGATGTTCGACAGGGCGCTCCAGGAGGGGCTCGGTCTGAGTTCGGGTAGATTATAAAGGCAGGAGTGGTTAAGATGCTGGCCGGAGCGTGGCCGGACGATTACGGTGCGCATACCACAGAAGCCCCAACAAAAGATTTGAAGGAACTTTGCATACAAACGTATCACAAAGTTAAACAACGTCCACATTTTGAGTTAAAGATTCGTTTTTGGTTTCTTTACTAATAAAATATTTAAGACTACCTCCTTTGAAAATGCGCACTAGGAACGAGCATCACGAGGACGCACTCGTTCTGCAGCATGCGGTAAATGTCTCCTTTTGTTCCACTGATTTCCCCTCTGATAAAGACAGAAATATCCCCCCCAAGTCCGATAGCTGAGCTTAAGCCAACCAACCATCTGCCAGGGGACAGGACGCTCCACAGCCTGTGGAAACGGCACGGCTATGGCCTGCGACACT